CCAGTGAATGGAACATCTACCTCTGTCACTCTACCTTAAGAAAGGAAGAAAGGAAGGAAGGAAGGTAGGAAAGAAGGAAGGAAGGAAGGAAGGAAGGAAGGAAGGAAGGAAGGAAGGAAGGAAGGAAGGAAATGTTTACCAAGACAGGAAAAGACGTTCCTAATATGTTTTTGGGGCAAAGTGGTTGTAACTGAGTGGCTCTGGTGACAGAGAGAGATATTTGCTAATTTTTAATTTGTAGAAAAGAACAATGTATCCACACATACAGTCAGTTGTGCTGCCATAGTTACTCACATGGCTTTGTGCAATGGCATGTAGAAGCAGGGAGGTAAAACACCCAAGGCAGGCCGCCACCACAGAAAAGTTTCTTTCCCAGTTTGCTCCATTGCTTTTTAGATTCTTTCACAACAAAATCATGTTTAAAAAAAAAAAAATCTGGGGCCCGGCGCGGTGGCGCAAGTGGTTAAGGTCCTCGCCTTGCACGCCCGGGATCCCATATGGGCGCCGGTTCTAATCCCGGCAGCCCCGCTTCCCTTCCAGCTCCCTGCCTGTGGCTTGGGAAAGCAGTCAAGGACGACCCAAAGCTTTGGGACCCTGCACCTGGAAGACCCGGAAGAGGCTCCTGGCTTTGGTTCGGCATAGCATGGCCGTTGCGCCCACTTGGGGAGTGAATCATCGGACGGAAGACCTTCCTCTCTGTCTCTCCTCTCTGTATATCCGCTTTTCCAATAAAAAAAAAATACAAATAAATCTTAAAAAAAAAAATCTGGAAGCATGAATTGCTTACAATGCAGGGTCCAGGAACCTTGGCACCTGCCTGGATCAGGGGGAACATTGTCCTGGGGCCAAGCTCACCTGTAGCCTGCCAGAATTCGAAACAGGGGCAAAACCCTGCGAGATCTCGAGTCTGCACTGGAGCCGTGGAGGAGTCTGTCATCCCCTTCTCCCTTGTCCAGTTGGGGTGATCTTCCCAGACCCTGCATCCCCAGAGCACACACAGCTGGTGCCCGCTCCTCAGCACTGCCACACACACCCTGTCCCACCACCAGGATTCATAGGCATTCAGACTTCTGGCAGGCTGCAACTCTGCAGCCACAGGCCATCACGCAGGGTCACCACGTTGGGTCACGTTGCTGAGATGACACCCTGGCCAAGCTGCTCAGCATGGGTGCCACCCACTGGACTGGGACACAGGCCATCTTTGAAGGCACGTTTCCTCCATGCCAGCTTCTTGCGTTTCTGGCCTGGTGAGTCACTCGGGTGTCAACTCGTAATCTCATTTTCAGGTTGTCAGGGTACCTCCCTGTCACTCCCTCATGAACACGGACAGTGACTAAAGTCTTTTGTGTTCTAGGGCTCAGTGGAATGGGGGATGGGGAGAGCACGGGCTCCCTCAGGCCTCATACATATGTGAAGACAAGAACATTCAGAGAGGGGCGATGGAGCCAGAAAGCCTGGGTTCTTCAGAACAAGTCCCTCAGTGAGTGTGAGTTGCTTCTCCAGATGCCTCCAGTTTGAAAGGACACTGCCCCGACACTTCCCTCCTTGGGCCCCTACACACTCTCACTCCCCACCCCTCCAGGCAAGTACTTGAGCTCTTGACCGACAGTTCCAAGAAACAAGAATGTGTTTTCTTGGCCTGGAACTGGTGCACAGGCCGTTCCCTCAGGGGTCTTTGGTGGTTGCAAGCTGTCTCTTGCAGCAAGACGCCCCTGACCACTCACAGTGGTTCCTCTGGAGCTTCCTTGGTACAGCCAGTGTGCAAAGCACACAGAACCAGAATGGTCTATCTCGTCTCCTGCCAGTCTGCACACCCCAAGCCAGGAGTGGGCACTTTGTATCTGGCGCCTCAGTTGCAGAGCAGCTACCATCTTTGCTGAGTGAATCCTGGAAGACCACAGCTGCCTTTTGCTTTGGTGGAGAAGGCCACTCAGGTGTACCAAGGAGGCAGAGGAGGCAGCAGGTGCCCGCAGACGGTGGCTTTAGTGCACACCCGGGTGTGCTTTCCTGTGAACCGCATTCTCAGGCTACTGTTCTCTCACTTCCAGCCACACACAAATCATGTTCTGAGTGACTGGAGTCATCTCACAGCAGCTGGGAGCTGGTGGAGGGGTGGGGCGAGGGCCGTGGCCTTGGGGCTCCAGGCTGAGGGGTGGGGAGGAGAGGCAGGTCCTGCCCCCTTCCTCCCCGCCTTGGGAGGCTGCAGTCCCTGGGGGAGAGACAATGGGGCTCAGCATCTGTTTCTCCCTGGGAGAAGGGACCCTCCAGTGAAAAGCCAGGGAGAGCAGGGAAGTGTGGGAGGAATTGATGAGGAGAAGGGGCGGAGCCAGGAGATGCAGCCGGGAGGAGGGAAGGAAGGAAGGAAGGAAGGAGGAAAGGAAGGAAAGAAGGGAGGAAGGGAGCGGAGAGGAAGGGAAGACGCAGAGGAGGGAGGGAAGGACTTCCAGGTGTACCTCCTCCATGACCCGGTCCAGTACAGCAGCCCCCAGCTCCCACTCCGTATTGTTTCCTGCGGAAACTCTTGGGGACCACCCCAGTCCCGCGTCCCTCCCCACCCCCCCACCCCGGCTGCAGCGCTAAGTCCTAGGGTCCGGTATCCAGCAGGTGCCCAATGCATACTCGGCAACACGAAAAATGGGACCAACTTTGCTCTGGGAACTTTTAACCCATCTTCTCTGCCCCACCCCCACTCCACTCCTCCTGAGAAACCGAGGCCAGCGCAGGCATTGGGAGCAAGCCCAGGCGCCCCATGAATAATTGACCCTTCCGTGGGCGGCTCTGCGCGCCGGCTCCCCGACCCGCCCCAGCGGCCCAGGCCAGAGGCTGCGCGGCGCCGAGCGGCGGGGTGTGCCCGGGCTGCCCCAGAGCGGGGAGGAGGCGAGGCTGGGCCGGCCCCACGGGCCCTGCAGGGGCCACACCTCGGCCGCCCCCAGCAGTGCGCCCGCGGGGCCCGGGCTCCAGGCACCCGGAGCCCGCAGCCTGCCCGGCTGCACCCGGGGCCCCGCGCGGCTCCCTCGAGTCCGGACCGTCCAGGGCTTCGCTCCCAGCTGTGGCAGGCGCTATCGCCGCTCCGGGCTCTGAGGGGACGTCTGTTTGCACGCCCATCTGCTTACTTAAAAAAAAAAAAATCTCTTAAGTCAAGACAGCACCTTGGGGGAGGTTGGGGGGCGGAATCGAGGGGCCCCGCCTCGCACTTGGGAAGGGCCCAGCACCCAGGGGTGGCACCCGTGCACCCCAACCCCGGGCCGGGCCTCTGAGGAAGGGTGTGTGTGAATGGGGGGCCCCCCCAAGCCTCCCGGAGTGGGGGGCGGGGCCCAGGCCTCTCCCCTCTTTGTACCACTCCCCCCCCTTCCAGGCAAGGTTCTGTCGTTCGTGCTTCCCCCGCTTCAGTTAATCTTTGTTCCCCTTTTCTGCTAAGAGGAGGAAAAAAAAAAAAAAAGAAAGAAAAGAAGGAAAAAAGGCGTGACTTGATTTTCAAACGAAACTCCCACAGCAAACAAAACCCTTTTAGAGAAATAAGAAAGGAGGAAGAAGGAAGAAAAGCGGGAAGGGGAGGGTGAAAAAGAGCGAGAGAAGCCCGCAGGCTTTGAATTCGAGTGGGAGAGTTGAACCGAAAGGGAGAGAAAGAAAAGGCAGAAAAATCCTCGCCGCGGTGGAAAGAGAAAAGAAAACTTGGGCTGACAGGCGGGGGTGCTGGGGGTGGAAGGAAGTGAGAAAACAAAAGAGAGATAAAAGGGCTGCTTCTGGTGTCTTCCTCGGCGAGCTGGCTGAGGAGGAGCTGTTTTACATCTCTTCACGTCAGCCCTGCCTCATTCCCTTCTTCCAGGGAGGGAGAGCGCGAGCGAGAGAGCGAGGAGGGGGAGAGAGAGAGAGAGAGAGAAAGAGGAGCCGGAGGGAGGGCGGCGGAGCGGCGGCGGCGGGTGCGCGTGGAGGCGGGCGCGCAGCAGCAACCCCGGCCGCCGTGGGCAAGCCAGGAGCCCCCGGCCCGGCCCGCCCGGCCCGCCCGCGGGGCCCAGCGCAGGAGCCGCGCCCGGAGCCAGGGTGAGTGTCCCGTGCGGCCCGCAGCCCCCTCGGGCCCGCGGCCCCCGCACCCCGCCACCCCGGGGCTGCGCGCGGGCGAGGGCGCGGGGGGCGCGGGGGTGGGTCGCGGCGGCGGCGGCGGCCGGCCCGCCCCCCGTCTCTCCCCGGGGACGGCGGCGCGCAGGGCCGCGCCGCTGCTGCAAACATGTCGTCTTCTCCTTTCACTTCCACATTCCCTCATGCCGGAGAGCTGGAGGGAGAGCGGGAGAACCGGGGAAAGAGCGAGAGATGGCGTCCTGGGGGAGGGGGAAGGGGAGAGGGGGAAGGGAAAGAGAGAGGGAGCGAAAGAGGGCGCGAGCGGGTAGAGCGCGCGAAGGAGAGAGAGAGGGAGAGAGAGAGAGAGAGAGAGAGAGAGAAGCAAAAATGAAAGGAGAGCGCCGCGGCGGCGGCCGTGGTGGCGGCGCGGGAGGCGCGGGAGGCCCGGGAGGCGGCGGCGACGCCGGGGCCGCACGTGGGTGTCCCGGCGCCCGCTGCGCTCCCCCCCGCGCCCGGCCGGGACGCGAAGTTTCACCCCCTCGCCGCCCCGCCCCTGTTTGTGCCCGCAAACTTTATTCTCCAGCCGGGTGGGGTGGCTGCGCGTCCCCGCCAGCGGCTGCGCCGGGGGTGGGGTGGCTGGGGTGGGGGTCGGGGTGCCCCACCGGACCGCGGGGCGTCCCGGCCCAGACTTATGGAAGGTGATCGCCGGCTCCGGGGTGTTGGGGAAACTGGGGGGGCGGCCGGGGGTGCCGGGGCGGGGGCTCCCTGCGGCAGCTCCCGGTGCTCAGCCCTTCTTCCTGGACGTCCTCTGTCCGTCTGCTCGCGGTCATTTTCCTAATTGGATGGAGCTGTGGGGCGTGATCACCGGCGTCAGATCGGGTTCCCCCAGCCCCACAACCCCAGCTGCCAGGTGGGCCCGGAGGCTGGGGACTCGACGGGGCAGCCCCTGGCTCCCCACGCGGTCGCCCAGCTCATCCGATCCGGCCTGGGTGCCACCGCCCGCCGCTAACCGCGGACCTGCTAACTAGTGCGTATCGGGTTGGGTTTTTGGTTGGGTTTTTTGTTGTTGTTTCAACTTGCCTTCTAAAATGACTTTTACAGTCGCTGCAGTGGCTTGCCTCCAGTCTGAACTGTAGTTTGGGAAGATTGAAGGGGCCGGCTAGGTGCTTCTGTGGTTTGAAGTGGATTGGGCTGGGACTACTGGCTGTGGGGACACTGTGAGGGGCGGGCCCTTCTCGGTCTGCCAGGGTCCTCGTGGGCTACCCTGGAGTCACAGGGACCAGTGCCTTGCTTGGGGCGGGGGGGATTGGAGTTTGGAGATCACATCCTAGTGCCTTCATTTCCAGGACAGAAAGTACCTGGAAAGCTCCTCACTGTTCCCCTTGGACATGTGGGAGATTTCACAAAACTCCCCCACAGGTGTGTGCTAAGAAGGACTTTGGCTCCTGGGGGTCACCCAGCCAGCTCTGACGCTGTTCTCTTCAGCGCCGCACTTGTGTAAGTAGAAACAGCCAGAGTCCAATTCTGCCGGCACAGTTCCCCCTCCCCCGTCCCTGGGGTGGGGTACATCTGCATCTCCTCTGTGGCCTCATCGGGGGGTCCTCAAAGACCCCCCGGGTAGGGGAGGCTCTCCCTGGGACAGGGGAGAGGGGCCCTTGACTACTGTTAAGTATTAGAAAACGTGTATCTGATGTTAGCCATCAACACATGACTGGCTTTGGTTCTCCAGACCTAGCAAGGCCAAAACTTTCTGACTGCTTTGGGAATAATTTCTAGAAGTTTCCCGGTGGTCCTGTCTGGAGGTGGCCCGAGTAGAACGTATAATTGGTCACCTGTGGCTCTTACCACACTGGCATTCTTGGCGATATAGTGTGTGGACTATGGGATGGAGCTGTGGGTTCCCAGGCTGAGTCCCAAGTGTATCCCTGTTCCGAGATGTGTGTGTGTGTGTGTGTTGGGAGGGGGTAGGCAATGGACCATTCACTTTGCAGGGGGCTCACTTCCATTCCAACCACATCTTCCCAACCAGAGACTTCTTTTCAGCTCTCTGTCTAGCAGCGAGGACTGACAGATGAGGCCTGGCATGGCATCAGAGTTGGAAGGGAGAGACTAATGGACCACCGGAGATTGTGCTATTTTAGGCTTCCCTGGTGGCCCCTAGATATTCCCAGCAAGGCTGTGCTCAGCAGGAAACGGGGCTTCTTTCGGGGAGGGAGTAAATAAATAAAAGGATGGCTGCCTTTGGGAGGAGACACCATGCCTGCTGCTGACGTAAGGGGCGGGCTTCCCGCTTGGTCTCACTTCCTCCCAACCCCGCCACCACCTCCCAGGGATCTGAGCCTGCTAGGGCTCACATAAAGGGGGTAGATCCAGCTCTTACACCTAACAGCCAACAGACGACCTTAGCAGTTATCGGAAGGAAACTGAGGCAGGAAGAAGGCTCCATGCTGGAGCCACTAAGTCAGTTGGCGGAGCAGGCCCTGAAACCTGAGGTTCCCGGGACCAGTCTCCCGAGCCATTCCCGCCGCCGTGGGGCAGCCCCAGTCCAGTTTGGCCATGACAGCTTCGAACCCTGGGCTCCTGCTGCAGGCCTAAGCAAGGTGCATGTAGCACCTGACGCCTCAGGTGCCTCTCACTTGCTGCCCTGGAGGAGCCTGTGTGTGACCACAAAGAGGACCCAGGTGTATCTGTTTGTTCCATCGCCGACTTGTGAGGCCAGCCGGCCCAGGAGGCAGTGGAACTGTCAGGGTGTTCCAGATATGTGGTTTGGAAGAAGGGTGAGGTCATCCAGGAAGTTCACACTCAGGCAAGACGCAGACCCGGGCCCTGCTGTAGGGCTGGTGCCTGGTGGGCTGCAGAGTGAAGGTTCTGGACATTTCAAGCAGATGGAACCCAGGAGTGACACCTGGACGGGGTGATTGATGGGAGCTGCCAAGCTGTGCTGTGAGCTATTGCAGCACAGGCCAGGCAGGTGAAGCAGAGGAGGCTGGAAAGAAGAGACTCCCAAGAGGGGTGGAGCCACAGGCTGGAGTGTCCTGCACAAGAGAAGGGTGGTTTTGAAACAGACTTGGGTGTGGGGAGAACCATGAGGGTGACACTGTCATTTCAGGCCAGGGTGCTGCAGGGCTTCGTGTGTGCCATTGCCTGTGGTCCTTGCGAGTGCCAGCAATTGCTGGTCTCATTTGGTGGTCTGGGAAGCAAGACAAAGGGTTTAGGGAACTTGTCTAAAAGGCCTAGAGTTTGTACCTGAAAGCTGGACAGATTGAGCACAGACTACGTGTAACCTGCTTGTGGACTCGCTGTAGCATCGCAAACCAGAGCGCTGGTTGGAGTCTCGACTGCTCTGCTTCCCACCCAGCTCCCTGCTAATGTGCCTGGGAAAGCAGCAGAGGATGGCTCAGGTCCCTGGGCTCCTGTTATTCGAGTGGAAACCCAGATGGAGTTCTTAGCTACTTGCTTTGGTTTGACCCCGACTATTGTAGTCCTTTGGGGAGTTTACCAGCAAAGGAAGATCTCTCTTCTTCTCTGTCACTGCCTTTTAAATACATAAAGTACATCTTTAAAAACTAGAAAAGTAGTGGTTGGTCTCCAGCAGAGGGAGGCTGGCTGGGGAGCCTTCCCTGCCTCGTTTGCCAGAGCCCCCCTAGCTGCCTGGAAATGGTGGGTACAATGGGTGCTTCCTCTGTGGGGGGGTCCTTAACTGCTGCCCTGGGCAGATGGTTAATGGCCGATCAGGACTGTTTTGTGCTTGGTAAAGTTTCAGGAGGCCTTTTGAGTGCAGGTAGGTCTCCAGTTTAGTTTGGTTTGCAATATAAGTGTGAGTTTCAAAATATTTTTTGGCACCAGAGTAATCTTTTGGATCTGTTTCTGGTGAACTTTTCGAAGTGTCCTTGCATTTGAAATGTGTGGACTTTTTTAAGCTACCAAATGGCGAAACACCTCTTAAAGGTGCTCCCAGCTGCACAGGAGCTCACCTGCCTGTCTACTTCCTGGGATGCTGGTCCCGCCCCTTGCAGGCCAGCGGTCCATCGGTCCATGATGTATCAGACACTGTGCGGGGCCCCATGCTCTTCCTCACAGGGCTTGCCTTCTCCCTGGGAGGCAGACCCGGAACTCCTAATTACACAAGTCCTCTTTAATTACAGTTGTTAGAAAAGCTTCAAAGGAAAAAGGCGTGGGGGTGGAGGGAGGTAGGCTGTCCCGAAGGCAGGGATGTGGGGGAAGCCATGCTACCAAGGCTAGAGCAGCAGCCTGCTGACCTTGACGTAGGCCTTGCTGCCTTGCCTGTGGTGCCCGGGCCAGCAGCATCAGCAGTACTTGGGGCTTGTTGCAAATGCAGACTCTTGGGGCCCCTGGGCAGACTTGCTGAATCCGCATCTCCACTAGAGTCACGTGCAAGATACTGGCCCTGGGAAGCACCCGTGGACTCGAAAGCACTGACCGGGGCATGCATTCCGGCCAGGCGGACAACCTCGGTCAAGTCCCTGCTCGGGCAACCTGGGGCATCTCGCAGATGCCTTCTGGCTCCTGTCACCTACGTGTTTCATGGCTTGTGCTTGTTAGAGGTGCGGACCAGGGCCTGTGTGCCTGAAGTCAGGGAGGGGGCAGGCAGCAGCAGTCCACATGCTGGTCTTAAAGTGACAGGAGGCAGGGTCGAAGTGCTTCAGATCCCTGGGAAGAGGCGCTGTGTGCTAGCAGCTGTGTCTGGGTTCTGTGTGTGCTGTGTTAGGGTGGGGAGAACCCTGAACTCTCATCAGCTTCCAGGGAGCCCTTGAGGAATTCACTGCCCTTGTCCAGCTCTTTGGCTAGATAGCACTTGCTGTGTGCCAGGCCCAGTTCTCTGAATAATTGTTTGTATGTGTGTGTGTGTACATACTGATTGCTGGAGAAATGAAATTAAAGTAAATGTTTGTTTTGATGCAAAAAAAAATTTTTGAGACTATTTTATTTGTAAAGCAGAGTTACAGAGAAAAAAAGGAGACAGAACTTCTCTTTCACCCACTGCTTCCTGCCGTAGATGGCCGTAATGGTGGGGTTGAGCCTATCCAAAGTCAAGAGCCAGAAGCTTCTTCTGGATCTCCAGTGCAGGTGCAGAGTCCTAAGGCCTTAGGCCATCCTCTTCTGCTTTCCCAGGCCACAAGCAGGGAGCTGGCAGGGAAGTGGAGCAACTGGGACACAAACCGGCATCTATATGGGATCCTAGCGCATGCAAGGCGAGGACTTAGCCACTGGGCTATTGCTCTGGGCCCTTTTCATGAACTTTTAAAGTTTATTTTGGAGGGAGAGAGAGTGTTCAGGAAGCTGGAGTCAGAGGCAGGTATCAAACCCAGGCATTCACAACAAAGCAATAAGGAGCCTCATCAGTAACTGCTAAGCCTAAGCATTTAGCTTGTTTATTTGTTTGTTTATTTTCATTTAGTCTGAAAAGCAGCTTTACTCCCCAGATAGCTGTAACGGCCAGAGCTGGGCCAGGCTGAAACTAGAAACTCAAGGTTCAGGCCAGGCCTCTCACGTGGGTGACCCACATGCTTGAACTGTAACCTCCCAGGCTGTGTTTTATGCTCACACCCCCAACACCACCAACACCATGGACTCTCTGAAGCATTGTCATATTAACTGATTTAGATTGAATTCCTTTCCTGAGGTCATACACCCTGCATGTTGTCAGAGCCGGGATTGGAACCCCTGCTTAGGACACCTGCCTTAGGAACAGGGTAGGCAGGACTGGGGACGGGCTGTGAGCCCTTTGCAGGTAAGTGTCTGTGCATCTATAAAACAGAAAGGGTTTTCCCACAGAATCCTGTTATGACCAGTGCTACCTTGCCAGGTCAGCCCATGAAAATGCCTATCACAGTTGGGCTCAGCTTATGCAGATTTGTAAAGAATTTTAAAATGAGGTTGGTGGGCCAAGTGCAATGGCTCAAAAGACAAATCCTCACCTTGCAAGCACCAGCATCCCATATGGGCTCCAGTTCATGTCCCAGCTACTCCACTTCCCATCCAGCTGTGCCCTGGGAAAGAATGGCCCAAAGCCTTGGGACCCTGCACCCATGTGGGAGACCTGGAAAAGGCTCCAGGCTCCTGGCTTCAGATTAGTTCAGCTTCAGCTATTGTGGCTATGTGGGGAGTAAATCAATGGATAGAAGATCTTCCTCTCTGTCTCTCTTCCCATCTGTATATCTGACTTTGCAATAAATCACTAAAAAATAAGATTGCTGTAGCACCAAAGGCTAAATGGGCATCTCTCTGGGTCCCTCCTCTCCTTGCTGCAGTTTGGTGTCTTAGCTATGGCTGTATGCTACTTGCTTTGGCCTGCCTGGTGAGATCTCTTGGCCTCTGTCCCTATTGTTATGTTCCCATTTTAAAGCTTTAGAGCTGTGTTTATTTTATTATTATTATTTTTTAAGATTTATTTTATTTTTATTGGAAAGGCGGATATACAGAGAGGAGAGACAGAGAGGAAGATCTTCCGTCCAATGATTCACTCCCCAAGTGAG